AGAAAAAAAAGAAAAAAAAAAAAAAAAAAAAAAAAAAAAACAGAATTAAAAGCAGATTATAAAAACAAGTAGAGAAAAGAGAATAACAAGAATTAAATAAATAAGAGACACTGTACAGAGAGAGAAACAAAATAGAGGGAGTGTGAGTGGAAGAGGAGGAGAGAGAGAGGATTGCGGAGAGGAGAAGAACGGCGGGCGGAGACAATAAGGGGAGATCGACAGTGCAGTATGCAAACGAGTGGAATACGGACAGTTGGCATACTACTATGTTTGTAGATATGGATTGAATACTATAGAATGTTCTATGTATGTCAATTGGATATTGTACAGACTAAGAGAATAGTGGTGGTGATGGTGGTGGTGGTGGTGGTTGTACCTATAATTGCATACCTGTACATGGCACCGAGATACTAGCGGTAAGAGCCATGATGCTTCATGATGCTGAGAGGAATATAAAGAATGATATAAGAATGCCTCCAGGGGTAATACTGTACCAGAGGTTGCAACGCGATCCATGGTTCGCATGCGGATATAGAAAAGTAAACAATGCTATAACACCAGGGTATCACTATACAACAAATCACGAAAAGACAACTATGCTCGCACACTCAGCAACCACTCCCATTGCCGTCGTCCCTCTGCCGTCTGTACCTGCGTCGAAATCTTTGGCCGCATTCTATCATGCACCTGTAGCGCCTTTGCGCGCAGTTCCTGCTGGGTCCGGTTCCGCAGTCGATGCCCGAAATGCCCAATGATCTGGAGGTACCGGTCAGGCCCTAGTCGTGTTAGTACTTTTGTGTGCCATGTGGCATAGTTACAACGTACCCTGATATGCCCGCAGCCCATCTATCAGAGCTAGGCCCTCGTCTTGAGACCACTCGCGGCCAGTATCGTCCTCAATCACTATAGAACCGCGCGATCCACCCTGTCCGGACCTATCCGAGATAGAGCTGTAGGATCTTGCTGATTTCCTTCTTCGTAAATCCCGTGAATCTAGCGCTTTGATGATGGCGTTCAGTGCTCGTCCAAGTTCTTTGCAGCGCACCGTACCATGCACAATCCGCTGCATCTTCATACTCGTAGTGCGATCGCAAAGCTGCCGGAGGAGAACAAGCACACGACGAAAGTGTTCGTAAATCCCAGGAAACATGTCCGCATCGGTATAGTAAGCATTGAAGCATGCAAAGACCAGCTTAACCATTTCCGGAATCACTCGTGCCTCAAATTCGTCCACTAGGTCACATGCATACACTTCGTCACGAGCTCCATCGGGCCTGGTGGCTAGATGATAGGCTTGGTCGAGCAGCCTCTCTCCCTCACACCGGATGCTCCCGAAGAGGTTGTCGCATTGTCTGAGCGTCATGTCAGATGGCCGATTATCCCTTTCCCCGTAAAGCCGAGACAGTACTTTGATTGTTGTCCAGATATCCACGAACGACTCAGCTAAAGCGGGATCAACCAGTTGCTTCAGTTTTCTGGCTGTCCTGGTCAAGGTGAGCCAGTTCACTCGTTGTCCACCAAGTCTCATCGCCTCCTCCATCCATTGAAGTTTTCTGACCTGCTCCTCCTCTTCTGCGATGGCTGCTGCCCTCTCTGCCTCGTCTTCCTCGTTATCAGACACTCCACTTTCTTCGCTTTCGCTTTCGCTTTCGCTTTCTCTACTCTGCCCAGTTACAAACATTGGGTTCTGGTTGCTTTGGGGCCGGGTTAGCCCCGGAGAATAGCGCTCGACACGGCGTCGTTTTCTGGGCTGACGTTGTGGAAAGTCCTCTTCGTCCGCATCAGAGGGTTCGGGAGAAGAGCTGCTGGAATCTTGTTCATTTTCCGGTTGGAAACTCGAAATAGATTCCCCGCCGTCGTTTACCGTATCATCGGGTAACTGCTCCTCTTCTGACTCGGGTTCATCGGGTTCTCTTTGTATACGATTCCTCCGCGTCTCCAGCTCTGCTAGTAAGCCCCGTAATCTCGCGTTGCCCGCTCGTTGGGCTTCATCTACCGCACTATTCTCCTCCGACGAGTCGTCAGATTCACTTTCAGATTCCCCATCTGTATGACCACTGTGCATCGCCTGCTCTGGTAGACTCCGTTGTCTATGTGGTATACTCGTTCTGCTTGATCTTTCGCCTTCGTCTACCGCAATATCGGCCAATTGCTCCTCCGATTCAGAGTCATCTGATTCCCTCTCCGCCTCCCTTTCTATATAATCTTCGCGCATCTCCTGCTCCGCTGGTGAGCTTTCTGGTCTATGTGGTATGCCCATGCTGCTCGACTGTTCGCCGTTAACCGCGTTATCGACTGATTGTTCGTCCTCCCACTCAGACTCATCAGATTCCCTCTCTGCCTGATCCCTACGCACCTCCTGCACTGGTGGTGAACTCCGTGGTTTATGCGGTGAGCTCAGGGGCAACCTGATCTCGACCACTGAAGTGGGCGGATGACTCCAGTTCCTGCTCTCGCTGGGTCGATTGGTTTCAGCCTCGCCAAGCTCTTCTGCGTTTGACTGTTCCGCTTCTGAATCACCGCCTTCTTCCTGTCCTGTGTTGTCGGCATAGGTTTCGTTGGTCGCGTTAGGTTCGTCGGGTTCGTCATCGCTGGATGGCACCTGGCCATTGAGAAGTGCGGTAGGGGAGAGGAAGCTCGGGAATTCCTTGTCGTCTGATTGTCCGTGTGATTTCCGTAGAGAACGTGTATTCGGCCGTTTGGTAGTTTCAGGCTCATCGTCTGAGAATAGGTGGATTTCTTGCTCCTCGTCGTCCTCCTCTTCCTCTTCCTGTTCCTGTTCGTCCCCATTGTTGTCCTCATCTTCACCCTCCTCGTCACTTTCCTCCTCTTCATCCTCACCACTCTCCTCATGATAATCAAACCCCCGCGTAGACCTCAGCGACCTCCGCCCTCCACTCCCTGTCATCACCTTATCATCACCACCCCCCGAAGATCCAGTCTCCCGAATCCTCGTAGACCGTCGCGGCGTAATCGGCTCACTAACCCCAACCCTCTCCCTCCCAGCATTCCCTCCACGCTCCTCTGGCGACTTCGGTATATTCCAAATACCATCACTCCTGGGCTCCTGCGCGCGAGAGACCGCGTGGAGCTTGCGACGGGGCGGGAGCACGCGCGAACGGGTGTTGGGGCTGGCGTTGGCGTTGGCGTTTGGGTCTGGGTTTGCGCTGCCGACGTTATTCAGGATGTCGAGGGTTTGGAGGGTCGAATCACGTTTTCGGGAGCGCGACGATGGCATTGTGATTGTTTTGCATCAGTGCATTCGTGAATTAGAGGCGTGTGGCTTCGGACAGCCCGTGTTAAATGGTGGAAATGTTCCTTTCCTTGCGGAGATAAATAAATTGATCTGCCACCGCCATCGTCATAGCGATAGCGGAGTATATATAGCTCCCACCCCGCGACCACCTCACCTTCTACAGCTTTATTCTTATATTGAATTGATTCCTCCATACCATATCTAAATACAAAGATACACAATGACAACAAATGGCCTCCCCATCCGCGTCCTCCCAACCCTCGACCCCTCCGAGGGGCCAACACACCCCTTCAGCACCCCCAGCAAGAAAATCCACGAATCCAACGACGTCTCCTCCTTCCTAACCAGCAAAGCCTACGTCGACATAATGACCTTCCTCCTCCAACTAAACCGCTCCATATTCCCGCTCAAAAACCCCGACGGAAGCGTGCAAACTTGGACCCTGAACTCGGAGGCCGTCGAGTTCTCGGCCCCCGTGAGGCAATTGCAGCAGTTGCTGGCGAAGCTTGAGGGGATACTCGAGGAGGCGCCGCCGGATCAGGGGCCGAGGAGGTTTGGGAATGTGGCGTTTCGGAGATGGTTCCAAATTGTGGAGGGGAGAGCGGATGAGTTGTTGGAGGGGTGCCTTGCGCCGGAGGTGTTAGAGCTGAGAAAGGGTAGGGATGGGGTGACGGCGAAGGAGGAGTTGAAGGGGTACTTTTTGGGGAGTTGGGGGAGTGCGCAGAGGTTGGATTATGGGACGGGGCATGAGTTGAGCTTTTTGGCGTTTTTGGGGGGTATTTGGAAGTTGAATGGGTTTCCGCAGACTACTCCTGGGGTTGAAGAGAGGGCTATTGTTTTGGGAATTGTGCAGCCGTATGATCTCGTTGCCGGAAGTATGGGACAACATGGCTGACAGCATCAGGTACCTCGAGCTCACCCGAACTATCATCAAACGATACACCCTAGAACCGGCAGGGTCACATGGAGTCTGGGGTCTAGACGACCACTCATTCATCCCATACATCTTCGGGGCAGCTCAATTTGCTCCTGCAGTGGCAGAATCCGAGCCATTTCCCGAAGAAGGCTCACTACCAGATGCACCAGACCCAGGAGGCGTTGCTAAAGCCAACATCGTCGAGAGGGAGCGGAAAACGAACATGTATTTCTCCGCAGTCGGTTTCATCTACGATGTCAAACGCGGGCCATTCTGGGAACATAGTCCGATGCTTTATGATATCTCTGGGATTCGGACGGGGTGGGCGAAGATTAACAAGGTACCACCACCCCACTAGCCCTATAAGAAGTTGCCGTTGCTGACAGTCACAGGGCATGATCAAAATGTACAACGCAGAAGTCCTCTCCAAATTCCCCGTCGTCCAGCACTTCCCCTTTGGCTCGCTATTCAGCTTCGATCGCGATCCAAACGCCATCGTCCCTCAAACTCAACCTCAGTCACAACCATCAACCACCAGACCAGCACCTCCATCAGCAGGACCAGGACCAGGGTCAGGAACCAAAGCCCCATGGGCCACTGGAACCTCAACAGGTGCAGCGTCAGCCAGAGTACCCCCTTCTGCCTCTTCCTCGCTCCCAGATACGTCGAGGTTACCACCGGGGCCGATGGCTCCGACTAGGGCTCCGTGGGCGAAGCCTGCTGCTGGAGCTGGTGGTGAGTCTGGGGATTTGGGACAGACAAAATCTCCTTGGGCGAAATGAATGTGATACGAGTTATGTAGTTTGATATGTTATGACCATCTACTACGATATACCCCTATTGCATGAGAAATGTATCGTTCATATGAATGATGTGGATGGAAATGTGTCCAAGAATAACTGTTGGGGTATCATAGTAACAAACAAACGCCCTTATATATACAAGTAGTACAAGTTACGAAGAATCCGATCCGTAATCCACCAATGCAACTGGAGCCGGGTTCTTTTCAAGCGGCTTTTTCATCTTGGGTTGAGGTTGAGGCTGCGGTCCAGAAGCCCTGCCATTGCTTTGGGCCTCGACATTCGGCCCGTCCTTCTCAGTCCCAGCGTGAACAGACGCCTTTGCTATCCTCCGTCTCTTAACTTCAGGCTGCCACGCATCTTCATCCACAGCATTCAAAAACGGATCCACGGCCGCGCGAGTATTCCCCGTCAACTCGTGTCGAAACGCAGCTTTGCGATTTGCCAGTAAATCCGCCGTTCGAACTCTCCCATGCTTCTTCTCTTTCCCATCTTTCTCCTTTCGAGCATCCACAGCGAATAACGGCCGTAACCGCGTAGCCCGCACCGCATCCTCCACAGACTCGGGAGCAGCAGCACCACCGAAATCCACCAACCCAGCCCTCACCTTATCTTCCTCATTCTCGGCAACCAACTCAATCCCCAAACTCATCTTATCCTTCAACGCCTCCGTACCCTTCTCCGTGCGCTCAAGCTGTTTCCTCTCAACCCGAAACGACCTCCGCAACCGCCTCGACTTCTCATACGGATCATCCCAGTCACGACTCTGCCGCTCCTGCAGCTCCAAAATCCTCGAACTCTCCGTCTCCGCGCGCCTCTTATCAACAACCTTCCCCTCCAACCTCGCCAACGGATCATCACCCCCCTCCTTCCCCTCCCTCCCAAGCTTAAGCGCAATCTCCCCCAACCCCGCGACAGCCGGAACCTGATCCTCCCCAGTCTCCCTCTTCCTCGCCCCCTCGGTAACCACATACGCCGTATTCTTCGGATCCGTGCGAATCTCAATCCACCCCCCGCACGCGGTATGTTTCATCCGGAAACTGAATATCGGGGTGGAATAGTAGTTTCCGACTTTCTTTTTCTCGGCGTTGAAGCGTACGCCTTGTCCGATTATAGTCTCGTGGGGGGTGCAGGTTGTGCACCAGATTGCGAAGGGCATTTCGAAGCGGACGGTTGGGGTGGTTTTCGTGCGCGTGTGTTTGTTGAAGTTTGTGGGGGTGCCGGTGTTGTCGGGGGGGTAGTACCTGCTGTTATTAGAGAGTAGTGCTTGGTAGAGAGTCTGGATGGTACTAACCTCCCCATATCTAAGCTTGTCAGCTATGTCCGTCATGGTACCGGTGTATGCGATACTTACTGAAGCCCTGCATTTTGGCGGATTGGCTGGATTGGCCAGATCACTCAGTAATTAGTCGTAAGGCCAGTCAGCTTTATCAGCAAAGCTGGTATGGAGTGTTGAAGGAAAGTCATGATGAAGTTTGGATTGAGCGCGATGGCGGACAGTTATGCATATATGCGCTTAGTAACACCGGCATAAATATACATAACTATTCTACGGAGTAGACCGAGTCGGTATTACGTCCAAGACCGCATACGAGAAGCCAGGTTAATTGATGGGTAGCCGCTAGACTAATATTGGTCTTCTCTAGTTGCGATACTATATTAGTGTCATATAGGATGTACTTATATAGATAAAGGCAAATCCGAAGAAAACAGATGCAACCCTAAGAGATCACACAACCTTCTTCAAGGCAAATTGCCGTCTCCTGGCGATTTTTTTTCCCTGACAATTCATGATATAATGAATAAAACCTGTCTCAGAGCAACTGAAGCCCAAATGGTTCCTTGTCGAAAGCCATGCAGGTTTCCCACGTACATCCTCTGATACATGGCGTTGATTGTATGCACACTTGTACGGGTGCGCAGGTGGCAAGATAGTCAATATGTATCATGATATGAATGGCTCATGATATTCTTTTTTTGACTCCATTGTGTCAGGGTCTTTTGACCTTGGGCATCATCATGATGTCCCATCGACAAACAGCTCAAGGGCCGGTGTCGAAGTCCTCGCTTGGCTGGTTCGTAGCGAGTAGTTGTGCTGGCCCTCACGAGTGGCCTTTCAGTATAGACGTGGCCTGTTATTATGCCCTGTTCAATGCGGTTATGCCTGCAAGAACCAAAACCCAGAGAGCACAAGGGCATTCACTGACTTCTATCCAGCATAACCCGCTTCGTTTGTCGGCCTCACTGTTTCCCATTCTGGAAACACACGAGAATCTCCGAGTATATTTACTCACTGTGGTAACGAATCCGACATCATGCCTTCTTTGAGCTCTTCATATAAACTTTTAACCCACCCACACGTTCACCATGTGTTATGGGGGATTTCGCCCCTGGCGCCCATATATCGATGTATAGGTGACTCAATCGCGTGATTGTATTGGAGCCCACAAGTACTCCGGGGGTATTACCGTTGCAATGCACTTAGACGTGTGTAAAACAGATACCAAGACAGAGCCCATGCCTTCTGCCCAGCAAATCCCGTTTCTGTCCTGCTGTTATCGCCATCTGTCTTGGAAATAGATTGGCCTGCGCTCACACAACTGGCCCCTAGGGAACTTTCAATGTCATTCGATGGCAGCAGTCATGTCGTTGTGGAAACATGTCCATTTCAGGTCTCAGTGCTGGCTTTCAAGTCCACCGATGCGTTCTGCATGTGTAAGCGGTCATTTGCCTTGGGCTTTATTTGTTCAATTAAAGCACGTCGATCTTTTCTCCGTCTGGGTAGAAGTCAGCTATGGCTCTTCTGGGATGTGTTGGTATTCACCCACACTCATAAATGGGATTATCGTCTAAGATTCGGGTTGTCCGTAAAACACAGTATCTGCAACAGACAGCTAAGGGCTGTCTACTTTCTGCTTGCTGTGGGCTGACGCATCCCAAGACGCACATGGCCAGCCAGGTGATGGTGCAGGCTACGACGATAAAGCCGAAGACAGTCAAAATGATGATGCTCGTGAAGAGGCTTGCGATTGAAGGAAAAAACAGCATCTAACAGAATGTCGGTGTTGAGAAGATTCATCTGTCTTCAATCTGAACCAACAGGGAGCCCGTATCGAAGAAAAAGGTAAATAATCTAAAACTGGGCTGTGGAATCTGAGAATATTACTTCGAGACTAATGGACCAAAACAGTGCCACGACGCTAATATGACACGAATTGAGACTGAAGTGCGCATAGCATCGAGACGAAGTGCAAAGAGAGGAAGGAGAGGAGAGAAGAGGAAGGGGAACGGAGGGGATTTTTATTAGGGTTGCAGTGAATAACGATAGCTACACGAGTAATTCATTCATCGTGGACGGTCTAATTGAGGATTCATAGCACTTTCTAATAAGACTTGCTTGGTTTAAGAGGATATCATAAGATATTGGTTCCCGCATACTATGTACACTAACAGGTCCGATAGAAGGTAAAGATAACTTTGTACAATACAGAAGATAATAGACACTGTACATCATAGCAGTTCATGAGAAGAAAGAAAAAGAACATAATCATACATCAGGATACACGTTGACCCTCAACAGTCGTGGCCAGAGCCTGCTGAGCGAGCTTCTTGTTCCGCTTCACCAACGCATTAAGCTTCTTGTCAATCGAATCTAGCTCCTTCCGCGAAGTCTCAAGTTCTTTCTGCGACTTGACCGCAAACGAGCGAAGCTCTTCGTCTGTCATACCAACAACGTCGTCGAGATCGGGGATATTGCCCATGACCACGCCGGCGGCACCCAGCATGTGCTTGGCGGTAGCTGCGGCAAAGGACCGGACAGAAGCAGCCGTCGCGTTGACCAGTTCAGCGGTGTTGGCAATGGCCCAGTTGTGGGTTCGGGTGCTGTCTGCCTCCATTGCAGAGAGAACGTTAGGAGGGTTTCCAGGGGCAATGTTTTCGATTCCTGAAAAAGATGCAGTGGGGGATCCCGAAGTAAGACCGGCCGCAGCGTCGTCCACCCAGCAGAGATTGAAGTTCTCCGGCGTAGCAAAGAGCGCATCGAGACCGCCAGCACGGTTGGTCGTATCAGGTTCCGTGATGGGGGCGGCGGGATATTCCTGGAAGGAATCGACGGTCCACGCAATGCTTTTCTCCAGGGCGAGATATCTCTCTTCTTCTTCAGGCGACAAGTGGTGCAAAACACATCCACGGGGACTGATGAGGCAACGATCCTTCAACATGTTGGAGTCTGCGTTGATACGGACTGGTTCTCCACGAAGCAGAATCTTGCGATCTTCGTCCGTCAGCTCAATCGGGTGCTTCAAGGTTTCATAGTCTTCTGCCAAGCATTTCATATCGAACCGTTGGCTTAGACTGGCCGGGTTGAACAGCGGATGATTGTTAAGATCAAGAGTCCCAGATCTGTGAAGCTGAGAAAGCAACATCTGTAGCGGATGTGTGCGCTCCGAAAACAATTCCTTAACCGAGTTCTCACTAGCTTCAGCGTCTTTGAGCATCTGTTCCACAGTGTTGTTCGACCGCCATGTTTCCTCAGCGGGTTTCGTATCAGGAACAGGGGCTTTCTCCTCAGTGGGACTAGGCTTGCTCTCCTTCGGCTGCTTGTCCTTGACCTTCGCCTTTTGCGCTTTCTCGTCAGCACCCTTGTCAGCGACCTCGCTAGGCTTGGCAGGTTCTGCAGCATTTTCTGCAGCCGCATTCGACGGTCCCGCATTGGCGCTGGCCGGCGCCTTCTTGGTCTTACGCTTGCGTCCAACGATTGGTGCAATAATCGGTTCTTCCGTCAATACAGACGCCGTTTCAATCTTCTTAGCCTCTGCCTCCTTAGCCTTCTGTCTTCTTTCCTTCTTCGCCTGATTCTTGGTCATGGACCGTACAGGTGCAGATCCAATTCTGGACGAAGCAGGAGGCGAGTTGGCACGAGATACGGATGCGGACGTATACTGGTCAACTTCAGATCCGCCATCGCCTGGTGTCTCTGGCCGACTGTTAGAGGAGATACTCGGTATTCTAGAACGAGCCTTCGCCGTCGCCTGGTTAGATGACACGGACTGGTTGGCAGAAACAGGGGGCGGCGTCTCGGTCTTGGGTGTGTCCACAACACGAAGAACCCGGTGTTGACGAGGGGCAGACGAATCAGACAAGCGCGAAACACCAGTCATTGGGGTATTGGGACGAGAGCCAAGAGCAGAGGGCGGGGCTTGTCCGTGAACACTCTGAACCGATTGTTCCACCTTAGAAGGAGAGACTTCAGGCGGCGGGGCGGTAGTTCCTGGTAAATCGAGTTTCATTGGCTTTGGCTTCGTAGTCGTAGGCGTTTCCTTCTTATCGCCGATGGCAGTCAAGTCACTTTTAGACTGGGTTCGGGATTTGCTAGCGGACTTTGGCACGGGCGATCCCAGCGAGATCTGCGATGCATTCTTGACTCTGCTCGACGAAGGCGCAGCATCTGGAGTCTCCTTAGGCTCCGGTGATTGAAGTCGGGAGATGTTGTCTTGAGACTGGGAAGGCGTGCCAACTCGGGAGAACGGATGGCTTAAACCGGGAGGCACAGATGTCACTGGACTTGACGGATTCAACGGACTTTGCAGGAGAGATGAAGCTAGATGAGACGGCGGCAGGGGAAGCCCTGGTGGAAGTGTTGGTGTCCCATTGCGAATCGACCCGTGAGGCTCCGAGGAAAGGCGCGAGAGGAATCCGAAACTGTCGACTGGACGCTTGTCCTTGGGCTGCGCACCAAGAGGCGGGAATTCTTCGTCAACTGATCAGACACTCGTCAGCTTCCTGCCACAGAGAGTTTTGAGTGATGAAAAAATCGGAAACGGCGAGAACGACGACCAGGCAAAAGTAAAGAAAGCAACGAAAGCACACCGCGAGATTGCAGACGAATGACAACAAGACAGACAGTCGATCGATACGCATGGGGCAGGCACGATTAATTACACAAAGATCCTAGGCCGGTTTGACCAGGCGCACAAAGCAAGGGAAGTCTATATGAACAGTTATTGTGAGAAATAGGTTTCCGATAAGAGGCCCTGTCTCCGTATATGACAACATCAAGGGCAGGGAGGTTAACGTACATAAAACCATGAACTGGAGTCATCAAAGATGCCGACGGACAAAGCCAGCCCGGATGCAAAAAGTAAGAAGAAACATAATACGATGACCACCTGGGTCAAGGCGGGTTCGAAAGACATGAAAACTTCATAAAATGTGATGACCCCTTCTCGTCTCCGGGGATGACATTCGGAAAACAGAAAAGAAACAAAGTAATGAAACAAGATGGTAGAAAACGCCAGAGGCACGCCTAGCCCTAACTGGTTTTTGTTTTTTCAAAGAGCCGTCTGCCCAAATGCTTCGTGACAGAAATAATAGAAACGCTGTAGTATCAAAATTGCATCAAATCCGAATAAAAAAGAAAACAAAGCTCATATCCTGCACCCATTTGAAGGAGAAGAAACAGAAAGATGATATCATGTCGTAAATCAAGATAGGGGGGACGAAGTAAACACAATGCAAGAAAATTGATCATGACGAATAGAAGAACAGAGGGAATTAGAGGAAAATTAAAGAATAAATAGGAGCAAAAGAAGGGGGTACAACGATCACCAGCGGTTGAATCCGCCTCCATACATCATGGAGTGATTGTACCCACCTTGTCCCTGACTCCCGTAGAGTGCCTGTCCAGCAGTAGCATTGGCACCGACTTGGTGCATTCTCGCCTGCAAAATACTCGGGTCCGCAAGATCTACTACACCGCCTCCACCGGAGGAAGTGTTAGCGTGTCTGTGCTTCTTCCCCTTCTTCTTATGCTTCTGTGGCCCAGTTTCAGGGTACGCCCCCGTCTGATTGCCATAGAAAGAGCTGAGAAGGCCATTCGTGGGAGTCAGGGGAGGGGGAGTCTGGTGCTGAAGGAAAGGAAAGAGAAACTCACGCTTCGCAGCCTCCTGGCTCTGTAAACCACCGGTATTCGTACCACTGCGACCACGCAGCAGTTCGCGCATCAACTCTGGATTGGCATCCTGTTTTCCGAGGTTGGCAAGATTGGCGTTTGTGAACCCATGGCCTTGGGCGAACATCCCGCCTCCGCTAATGGGAGGGGTTCCAGCAGTCTTCAGGCCGGGAGGGGGACCCTGGACTCCACTGGTGTAGTAGTTGTTGGCAATACCGTGCTGAGGAGTGGGCGCGGCTAGCGGGTTCGGAGTCCCGGATTGCATCAAAGACGCCTGCTGCGCCTGCTGGTTCAACATGCGGACGTTGGGAAGGTTCTTGGCGTTGGCCTCGTTGGCAAAAGAAAACCGAGATTGGCGGTTCTGCGCCTGCAACGCATTGTATTGCGCCAACTGGTTTTGAAGAAGATTGTTCCGAGCCTGGGTCGCTTGGTCAAACGCAGCACTTTGCAGAGGATCCACCAAACCAGCCTGCTGATTGTTGGCAGACTTTAGAAGCATCAACTGCTGTTGCTGAAGGGGCGTTAGACTGCGACCTTGGAGGTTGAGGTTCTGGAACTGATTGCTCGTTGCTGACATAGGCGAGCCAACGACAGAGTTATCGGTAGTGCCCTGTTGGGATGGTGGCTGGATGGCACCGTGTGATTCACGGGTTTCCCTGCCTCTAGCAGGAAGCGCATCATCCGGCTCACCACCGAGCTGGAGACTCCCACTTTCTCTACCCTCCTCTTCAACAGTGGTAGAGAGCAGCAGTTCCTGTTCCCGTTTCGCACGTTCCTGCTCGGCCTTTTCCCGCATCGCCCTGCGCTTAACACCACCGTACGGATCGATAAACGAGGCATGTTTCTCGATCAATGCCAGATCTTCCGCAGATAATCCTGCTGTCGAAAAGACGAATTTGAAACCAGGAGAATTGACTGCATTAAGAAGATTCTCCAGCAGCGGAGCCTCGGGGTCTGCGGGCGGCTTCTCGGACTTGCGAGACGATACGGACGGGGAAGACCGTGCATCTGCCGGCGACGAAGTTTGACGACGGTCTTGGGTGGAGGGCGGCTGCTTCTCAATGCGTTTCGGTTCCTCCGCAGTAGGGGTAATGGTAGCAATGCCGGGGCGCGGACTCTGGGAAGGCTGGCTACCAGTCAAGCTTCCTCGTCGTGCACGGTTGATCGGAGCATCCTTGTTTGCCCAGCTCGCAGATGATGGGAGAGCGGGTCCATCTGGCGGGCGGCTTGCTGCGTCATCCTTGCTGGGTTGCCGACGTAGGGTTTGAGAGATCGGCTGGGCAGATGAGCGGGCGACATGCGGAGGAATACCGTTGCCGGGACCGTTAGGGGGACCGCTTGGATGGCCTGAGCGCTGAGTCGAAATCGTATTCATCGAGGAGAGATCCTGCCGAGTATAGCTATCACTGTCTTCACCGGTCTCGTGGAGGAAGGTGCAGTTTCGGTTATTGCATTGCTCATTGCGGAGGAACGAAGAGCAATATTTCGTCGTGCCGTATTGCGCCCTAGAGAATGTCAATGGTGTGTAAACTAACGAGAGGAGAACGAAAGGGAAACGTACCTGAGGACCCGATCGCCATTCGCCGATCCGTCCACAGCGGCAATACACGTTGCGGCATCCAACTTGGTAGCGTAGGTAACATAGACACCTATGCCCTGATTGGGATTGCCACCGGGCTTTGCCTTGCTGACAACGATCTTCTCGATCTCTCCATACTGCCCAAAGTATTCCGGTCCACGAAGTGTCTGGAGGAGCTGGTTCTCGTCGCGTATTGTGGGGTTGAGGCCGATCACATACACCAGGTTCTTCTGCACGACCCTGACACCAGCCAAATTCTTCCGACTGGAGGCCTCGATTTCGCGTTTTTCGACCTCTTTCTTCTTTGCAGCCGCAGCCTTGCGATGTTTCAATGCCAAGTCCGCCTTGAACCTGTGCAGGAGAGTGAATGCGTTAGCGGAGCTCCGGAACACAGAATCGCGAAGGGGGGTTACGTACTCGTCTGCATCGGGAACCTTATATTGTATGGTGCTTTCATCGTAAGGGCGTCTGCAGTTAGGGCATCGGCCTTCTTCGCTGTGGGTTTTGATATTGTTGTAACAGAATTGGCAAATCTAGTCGTGTCAGAGTATGTCAGAGTATGTCAGATTTGAGCAACACGCAAACGCGAAAAGGAAGGGATTTCGTATATTTTCGAACGGAAAGCGCGAGAAACGTACTTGATATCCACAGGGACAGGGTTTGAAGTTTTTGTCCGACAGATCGAACTCCTCGATGCAAAGGGGGCTACATTAGAGAACATTATGTCAGTTACAGTACCCCCAAAGAGGGAATCAAGCAACATACCAGAACTCATCATCATCATCGATGACAGAGTCGATTTGTAGACGGCTCGACATGGTTGCCAAATGTGAATGAAGACTGTGAACGACTTAAAAGACCACCAAGTCCACAACGCCAACACCGGGAAAACGACAGAAAAGGAAATAAAGAAACTGGAGAGGAAGAGTGTAGGGGGAGAAGTAAAGGAAGAGAGAAAAGAGGCAGGAGTATAGAAGAGAGTGGACGACGACGTGGGGAAGAGAGAAGGAGAGGCGGAAAGAGGAGAGTTTGAGGCGAAGAAGAAGAAACGAAGCTCTGGGCCGCTGTTTGTGTGGTTTGCGTCATTTGCATGGTTTGTCTTCTGTCCACCAATAAACGCCGCGTTATTCATCCTACACCCACGTGACCGTCTTCGCCAACTTTCGACTCCAGATTCCCGCTCCGGCTGCCAGTCAAGCTCCCAGCTCCTCTTGTTCCTCTGTCGCTTTTCAATCGCCGCAATTCGGTCCCGCACAATGGCCTTTGCACGCTCTCTGATGCGGCTGGGCTCTGGCCGTTCTCTGGCCGTCTCCCGGGGCGTCCGCGCTTTCACTACGACCCCTCTGCAGTATGCTGAGAAGCTCTCGCCCGCGGAGCCCGATGTCCCCAACATGCGCACGGCGCAGCGTCCGCGTACGCCTTCATATACTTTTGTTTTGATAGGGATATGCTGACAAGTTTGGTTAGCTGCGGGCCCCCTCCGCGCTCCCGTGGTGAACCCTGCCGACAAGCACCTCGAAAAAGCCGAAAGCCTGCACAAATACGGCCAGTACATCATGTCGTGTCTCCCGAAATACGTCCAGCAGTTCTCCGTATGGAAGGATGAGCTGATCATCAACGCCGCCCCCACCGGTCTGATCCCCGTCATGACCTTCCTGAAATACCACACCGCGGCCGAATACACCCAGGTCTCCGACATCACCGCCGTCGACTTCCCGACCAAGGACAACCGCTTCGAGGTCGTCTACAACATGCTCAGTGTCCGCTACAACTCGCGGATCCGTGTCAAGACCTACGCGGACGAGGCGACCCCCGTGCCCAGTGTGACGGGATTGTTTGAGGGTGCGTTGTGGTACGAGCGTGAGGTGTATGATATGTATGGTGTGTTCTTCACTGGACACCCGGATCTGCGTCGGATTATGACCGACTACGGTTTTGATGGTCATCCGTTGCGGAAGGATTTCCCGTTGACCGGGTATACCGAGTTGCGTTATGATGAGGAGAAGAAGCGGATTGTCATTGAGCCTCTTGAACTTACGCAGGCGTTCCGGAACTTTGAGAGCGGTTCGACGTCATGGGAGCCTGTTGGACCTGGCCGTGATGACAAGCCTGAGTCGGTGCGTTTCCTTCCCTTCCCCCCTGCTAAATGGCATTGACGGTATACTGACAAGTGTAGTTCAAACTGGCTACTCCCAAGCCCGAGGAGAACCCCGAGGAAAAGAAATAGACTAGTGAATGTATTCGTATTTGTTTGTACATATCTTCAATTGCCAATTAGTAGTGTTCTATCGTGTATGTACTCCGTAGTGACAATGCTGTAGGGCGGTCTTGGCACCGAAGAAAATCTTCCCGATAAGATTTCTACTCCGCCAGCTCTTTTTCGTTCGCATTCACAATTCACCTCGCATTTGTCGCATTCCTTGCCCATATTAATATACACATACTCATCCCAATATCAAATAAATTAGAGTCAACATGCCCAAACGCAAACACTCCGACCTCGACACCAAAAGCCCCGTCGCAAACGACGCAACCAGCCGCATCGCGAACCGCCTCTCCGTCAAATTCGACTATGAAGTCAACGTCCTCTCGCGCGCACTGAAAGTCTCGCGCGGCTTCGAGAAGCAGAAGATGGGGAGACGGGGGAAGAAAGCACGTTCAGAGGAGGGTGCGAAGCCAGGGACGGTGGGGAGGATAGAAGAAGAAAATAAGATTCTCAAGGTGCCTACCCATACCCTATTGGTATCACAGGTTTATAGGGGCGTGCATGCTAATAGTAACTAGGCGCTGGATATGGACAAAACAGCAAGTAAATACATCCTCAAACAACTCTCGCGCACGAAACGTATCGCCGAGGCACCTGCGTTCGTTTACTTCCGGGAGAACTTGAAGAAGAATATTTCGCTTGATGGGCCGCAGAGTGCGGCGGAGGGGAATGTGCTTGCGAGACTTTACAAGTCGAATCCAGTCAAGGAGGTGTTTCCGGGGATTATGGAGGGGTTTAAGAAGCTTTTGGGGTTGGACGCCCCAGCAGGGAAGCAGAAGAAGCAGGAGAAGGGCGGTTCCTCGGAGAGTGCGCCACGGGGGAAGAGTGAGGGTAAGGAGGGCAAGCAAGCTAAGTCCAAGGCCAAGGATGAGGATGCGGCTGAGGAAAGAGATGTGGATGTGAACATGGACAAAGAAACTGTCAGTGGCAGCGACGACGACGACTTTTCCCAATTCAACTCCCGCCTCGCCGGCTCCGACTCCGAATCCGACGACGACAACGACCGCCTCGACCCAATGGCCATCTCCCCCTCCCCCTCGCGGTCCCCATCCCTCGACCTCGACCTCGGCCTCGAACCGTCACCCTCAGCTTCATCCTCCCCCGAACCAGAATCCTCCCCCGCCAAAAAACTCAAGTCCACCACAACCGCCACCAAACAACCCTTAACAAGCACAACCTTCCTCCCCTCCCTCTCAATGGGCGGCTACGTCTCCGGCTCCGAATCCGAGCCCTCAGATGACGAAGACTCCCAACCGCGCCGCAAAAACCGCATGGGCCAACAAGCTCGTCGCGCACTGTGGGAGAAGAAATTTGGTTCGCGCGCGAATCACGTCAAGACGCAGGTTGCTAAGGAGAAGAGGAATCGCGATAGCGGGTGGGATGTGCGGAGGGGTGCTACTGGGGGTGGTAAGGGGGCTGCGACGGGTGCGAACAGGGAGATGAGGGGAAATAGGCTTCAGAGGGAGGGTGAGAATAAGAGGAATGAGCCCGTGGATGATAAACCGATGCATCCGTCGTGGGAGGCGGCTAGGAAGGCGAAGGAGGCGCAGGCGAGTACGGCGGCATTTAAGGGGAAGAAGGTTACGTTTGATTAAAGGCCTACGGTGTATGGAAGTCGTGTTTGTTGTGATGTCAATCAATGCATATGTAAATCAGGTATCTCGCATATATATCCAACCATATCCAGATCCATATCCTCATCAAAGTCATATCCACATATCCATCCATGCAAATAAACATCAATCACATAACCATAACATGACCATAACTCATGACAACCAAGACCGCAAAGGAAAACAACTAGTCACTATTAATAAACTGCATCCACCTATTGTCCAACTCCAATCCCGGCGGACTCTGACTCTGCCCGTGACCATGCCCAGGACCCTGTCCCATTCGCTGCTGGCCTTGACTCTGCCCCTGACCCGGCTGCTGCTGCGCACCCGGATCCGTCTCAAAGCACGGAATCGCCGTAAACTCATCCAGCTCCTGCGGAAAATTCGACACAAAATGATCGAACCCGAAATGCGGAAGTGTCGGAATCCCAGTCGGCGAGAAATCAGATGATACCGCGTGATGGTGATGGTGATGGTGATGGTGGTTAGGGAAATCATCAGGACTGTGGTTAGCATCCGAGATGGTATCTGTGTGAGCAGGCGGGGAGATATTGGGTATCATGGGCGTGACGGGGAGTGGTGTGGTGCCGTTATTATTGCCATGTCCACTGCCGTTGTTACTTGCAGCAGACGCGAATACGGAACTTGGTGAGAGGGGTCCTGATTTCCAGAGCATTTCCCAGTTCTTGAACCGGTCGTAGGCTGACTCGACGATACCGGGATTATTAGTGCCGCCTTGGGTAGAGCTCCATTCTTCTAGTCGGCGGATGGCGCGTTCGAGGGCTTCGATGACGCTGACTGCTGAGCGGGCGGAGCCTACGCCCATGGACATGATTTTGATCAGGCCCATGCCTTTGTCTAGTGCTTCGCGGAGACGTTCGGTGCGTTTTGTTAGACTTTGCGCGAGGATGACTAGGAGTGCTGCGCGGCAGGAGCTGAATTCTGTGAATGAAGCGCGGGCGAGACCGGCTTCGTCGCGGAGGAGGCGACAGAGATCTACGATCTCAAGAGCAGCCTCAACGCAGTCTGTGACGAGGATGTTTCTATTCTTGGACGTGCCGGAGGTCATTTTAAACGGTGGATTCGAACCCTGTGATGGGGCGGGATTGACGCCGCGGATATTGCTGAAGAGGAACGGACGACCGATCCAGACACGCGTGAGGCAGTAGTCTAACTTCAAGTGTACGTTGGAGCGGAAGAGAGGGTTTGCTGGGTTGAGGTCTCTGCAGTGGGTGACTTCGGGGAGAGTAGCCCACCACTCGACGAGGTTTTTGCGGAGGTTTAGAAGGCGTTCCAGGCAGTCCTGCTGCTGGCCTTTGGGGAATTTGCGGAGTGATGATCTGCACTGTTAGAGGGAATTGCATCCGGGGGAGGGGGACGATGCGAGGCTTACATTTCATGGGCAACTTGGCCTAGTTTCAATGTCAGGTTGATCAAGGTTACCATGTTGGTATGATTCGAGACTTGTCCGGATGGCATGAGACCAGGAAAGTCTGTTGGTAGAGCGGCATCGACGTCTGAGTCGGATAACGAGACAGGTCGTCCATGGAGAATGCTCACGCGTCTGTTTACTCATTAACCAATTACTCTCAGCAGTAAAGAGGAGGAAGGCATACTTCTCAATAGTATACGCCGTCCAGAAAACCCGATTTCGCACCTCAACCATCCTCCTCGAAAGCCCCTCTCCCTGATACCGTCGATGCATACCATTCTGAATCGCCATTTTCAGCGCGAGTCCAAAATACGTATAACAAAGCCCCGACGTATCCAACGGAAGCAAATACGTCCCAATAAGCAAGCAAGCCTGCACACTCCTCACAGAAGTAGTCGCAATGATATCTGGCAGCAACTTGGACGCAAACTGATAAAACGTCAACCCAACCTCATCTTCAGAAAACCGATGGTCTTCTGATAGCTGGTTAACTGGTGTCGGCGACTCCATATGTGCAAACTGTGTGCCGACGGCGAGGACCATGAGGATGGCGCAGACGGAGCCCGCATCGTCGGGGGCTAGTAATGAGGGGTCCGTATAGCAGATGTTGAGTTTGTCGAGGAGCCATTCTTCTTCGACGTAGAAGTTGTTGGTCTGCGCGTATTTGAAGAAGATCTGGACGAGGAAATCGGCCACATAGCGTGGCGGGAGACAGGTGATGGAAGCCACCAGCGAGGAGCCGGATTGAAGCTGAGTCGCACGCCAGTGGTCTTCGAATGTTTCAGTCTCGGTAGAGGCCTGTAGAGTTAGCTATACTTCTTTTCAAATAGCCGGGAAGTGAAATGAGGTACCTCCGGCACAGCAGCCTTAATCCATTCATCGATTTTCTGCCGAATTTTCATCGAAAAATTAAGATACGAGAATTCCCCGGAATACTCTATTCAATTAGCACTGCATCATCCCAGCTTCAACTCCGGGAAAAACGTACGAGTCGTATTATCCGGCATAGGCTTAATAACAAAATCCTCATCGTCGATAGTCAAATCCTCCAGATCCTCGACATCGACCGAGGACCCGCGATGATGCTGGTTCAGCTTCTCCGCCGCAGTGCGCAGCGACGGCAAATCCAGCGATAAATGGGGGGCATAGTGATGCAGAATGCGTTCCATGTAGTGCACTCGATCGTCCTCACTGCGCTTGTTAACATGGACCCCTGTTTAGAGAGAGAGATAAGGACGTACGAAGACCGCGGCGGCTGCTCTTGCTGGGTGAAAAGACACTGGCGACGATAGCGCGTGCAGCGACGACAGGGGACGCCTCCTTCGCATTTTTCCTTGACGCGGCGACACCCGTCGCATCTGGTTTATGAAGTTAGATATGTATAATACATGGTAGATAGGTGCATACTCACGCTCTGACAGCGCGCTTGCGGTTCTCGTCGGAGACACGAGGCCGTTTAGACTGCCCTTGCGAAGGACTCTCCATTTTCAGAATCTTTGAGCATAGTCTGCTCTATATAAATGAGATATATAATACTTTCATAGATCGAAGTATGGTACGAAGTGAAAAGTGTGCGATACGGAGAGTTGGAGAAATTTCGGGGACGGCACGTGAGTGCCAAAAACATGGTACTCTGTATAACCTCATGTTTACTCATTTAGGCAAATCCCTCCACGTTCATGCCTTGTCCTTGTTTGATCGCTACTTCTAGTACTTGTTTGGCAATCACCAGGTCCATAAGCCCCATGCCCACGCATTTAAACACCACGTTGCTGCTGCCCTCTATCTGCAACCCAGCGGGGGAGTACACCCCGCCAATCTCCACCAATTGGTCTTCAGTCACGCCCGCCCGAATCAACTCACCGGATTCCTCCAGGCATGCTTCTTTGGAATCTACATAGATTTTCCCGCCACCAGACAACAGAGTCTCAGTATCTATCTCTTGCATCTGTGGCTTGTAAGATCCAATCAAGCCGAGAAAACGCCGTTTCGGGTGTTGTTGTTGGAGATAAGCGAAGGGAAAGTTAGGCTCCGTAGCCGGAGTACAGCTGAAGATAACATCACTCCCTCCCAAAAGACCCTGTAGACGAGCCTCGTATTCGTCCTGGGAAAGAGTCTCCTGGGACAACGTATCCATGGTCACCCCCGGATACTCCCCCCGCAGCACCGGAAACACCTTCTCCTCCAGCGCCTGTAACCGAGCGCGCCCACGATTCACAAACGTAATGGATTTGGTACTTCCGGGAGGGGAGAGGAGCAGCGCCAATCGCGCATGCCACTCCGCCTGTCGTCCGGAACCAAACACCACAATGTTCTCTCGTTTAATTCCCGTCTGTTCGCCTGTAGCTCGCACGAACAGCGTCATGGTCGCCAGGGCCGTGCGGAAGGCTGTTATCTCTGCTGCACCTAGGATGCCCAGCAGGTGGCCATTTTCCGGGTCTAACAGGTTGATGACCCCCGCGATGGGACGGGCGCGGGGCACATGGACGATCTTGATTCCGGTCGTGGTGGTGTTGGAGACGGGCATGAACAGGGCGGTGCTCTGGTCGGTTACGATGCTGGTTCTAGCAGGCTGGTGGATGGCATTGTTGGTGTTTAGAGAAGTCAGAGATTGAATGAGGATGTTGAGAAATTCCTGGCCTTGAGAGGGTGTCAGGGAGGTGAGGATGGTTGCGATGTTAGATTCTGTGAGGAGGTGCATTGCGCTGGGCGAGTTGAGTTGAGTGGGGAGAAATGTGTGAAGAAGAGAAGGCGAGAAAGAGGGAGAAGAGGGTTATATAAGATAAGAGACGGAGGGGCCCGAATGGGGTAAAATCGAAGCTATTCGTAACTCATCACGCTATGCAATTACTACTACTAACAATGGTATCAATGTATCAACGAAGAACGAAAGAGCAAAGAAATTTAACCCAAAACTCTCCGACGCAACTCCTTCCACATCGCTTGCTGCGAATCCTTGGTACGTCCAACAGCTTCGGTGTTCTCAATCGCTCTCCGCAGCAAGAATCCCATACATTCCTTGACCGATCCCCATGTAAGCAGCTTGTAGACGTTCGGCTTCTCCATGATGGCCTTTCCTTGCTCTGCATCCTCGAATCCCTGCAAGAGCTCGCAGCTGACCTCATCGGCCATACCCTGGAGCTGGGCGTAGCTGAGATCAACACCGTGGTTCTGGCTGTCGGCGTGCTGCTGCAGACGCAGAGCATGAGCCTTGCGGACAGAGTCGCGGTTGTGAGTGGCGATGATGACATTAACTGGAGGAAGCGTTTTCTGGTCTTGGACAGCGGGCTTGAGCATGTTGTTGTAGCGACGGGTCAAGAGGGCCTCGACAACGCCGTCGTAGCAGTCATCGGTCTCCTCCTTGGTAGCCCAGATCAGATGACGGGGTTCAATCTTGAGATAGGCACCGCGGACCAGCTTGACACCAAGAGTGTAGCCTTCCTGGCGAGCCTGCTCCAGGTGGCGAGCGAGGGTGGCGGGGGTCGAGCAGAGATAGCCCTGGTAGGTGGAATAGAAGACGGCGCGGCCGGGGAAACGAGAGTTGCAGTATTTCTGATAGATCATGGACCAATCCTCAATGCCAGGCTGAACAGCCTGTTCTTCAGCATCGACCAGCAGACGCACGTTGCGCGACAGAGCCAGATCGCAGACTTTCCGGATGGAATCATCCATAAACTTCGATGGTTCCTTTTGCTGCTGCAAGTATTGCAGAGCTTGGACACCCATTCCGGTGAACTTCAACGCAACATAGTCGCCCTCCTGGGCCATATCGACGGTCTGCAGAGTACCATCGAGCCACATCTGGATCTCCTCGCGAATGGCCTCTTCGGAGAGTTCAAGGGCATTGCCATGGCCAGAGAGGACTTCCTTGGCATATCCCAGGAGGACACCACGATATCCTAGACGCTTGATGTCGTTGATAGATTGTTGCACTTCGAGCTTGTTCTCACCGGCGTTAAACTGGCGGTAGAGAGTGTGCTTGACGAGGCGGTTCAGGAGGGGGTTTTTGGCGACATCGATGAGAGGGTTCTTGGGGTTTGCGAGATGCGAGAGAGTGTAGATGCAAGGTTTAAGGAGGAGAGATGAAGAGGAGATAGAGAGGATAACTAGAGATCGCAGGACGGAGGAGATGGGGAGGTTGGCGAGGGGCGAGCCGTTCTTTGGCGACAGAGACTGTGTAGTTCTTGTCTTGACTGGAGAGACAGGGAGAGAAATGCCCTGGCTGACCAGGGATCGAGTGAGACGGGGAGCCTTCATGTTGCCCGGTATAGCTAGAGCTAGAGCTAGAGGTAGAGATAGAGATAGAGATAGTTGATAGAACTACGGATCATAAGAGGAAGGGGGCAAGGGATATATATTGCCACCACCGGATGCCTTTTTCCCTTTTCTTTTCTTTTTTCTCTATAAAACATACTCCGGTCTGGTGACCACAGCCGGTTATTGTACTGCATGGGGTCTCTACCGGTATGCCGGCTGTATGCCCGTCGATGATCTCCCTGCAGATTAGATAAGATAGCCACCGGCAACCGGGCCGGTCAGTACAAGTGGGATACAGAATACTTTGTACGTGGGACTTGGAGAAAAGAACAGATGATCTTTAGTAGAGTAAAACAAGCCTTGGTCGTGGGATATCAGAGACTTTATATCATGGAGTTGGCTGTACACCGTGCTGTGAGTGAGTGAGCGATTTTAATGTTTTTATCCTCGTAGATCTTATCAGATCTCCATAAGATGCGGGATCAAAGCCTTTAATTCTCTCTATTCTCTATGCATTCTATCCTGTTACTCTATTATCCTCTAATCCATTTTATATTGCTGTATCCATTATTCATTATTATTCAAAGTACATACCGGCACTATATTACCATATCTGGCGATCCGGTCTCCGGCCCGGTGTTGCCTCTGTCAGTTCTTTCTGTAGGGCGTACTCTGTATTCCATGGTTACTTGTGCTTCGTTATCCGGTTCAATGCGTATCAAAAATCTGCATGATCCATACATAATAGGCTGTGCGTTGCATAGTGCCACCACCCCGCATTCTCATTTATATAGCTTCCCCTCCCTTATATCTCCCACTCACCAACCACATCCCTCCTTTTCTATACACAATGTCCCTCTTCCTCCGTGCTCAGCGACTCCGGGCACCGGCCCTCGCCCGTTCCATGGGCTCTTATGCCACCTTCAAGACCCCTACTGTTAACAACGAACCCAACAAGACATACGCCCCGGGCACCCCCGACAGAAAGTCGCTCCAAGATGCTCTGGCCAAGTACAAGCAGAACGGCCCTCTGAACGTCCCTCTCGTCATCGCTGGCCAGACAATCAAGCCCTCGACTCCTCTCACTCAATCCGATCCCTCCACACACGCTCCCCTCGCCTCCTACTCCAACGCCACTTCCGAACAAGTCCAAAAAGCCGTTGACTCTGCTCTGGCGGCCCGCGAATCATGGGCCTCTACCTCGTTCGCAGACCGGGCCAGTATCTTCCTCAAGGCCGCCGACCTCATCGCTCACAAGTACCGCTACGATGTCATGGCCTTGACCATGCACGGCCAGGGCAAGAACGCCTTCCAGGCTGAGATTGACTCTGCTGCTGAGCTGTGCGACTTTTTGCGCTTTGGCGTCAAGTACGCTGAAGAGCTCTACGCCCAGCAGCCTGTTCACAACTCTCCTGGTGTGTGGAACCGTGTCGAGTACCGTCCCCTCGAAGGTTTCGTCTACGCCGTCAGCCCCTTCAACTTTACTGCCATCGGTGGTAACCTGGCCGCTGCTCCTGCTCTGATGGGTAACGTGGTTATCTGGAAGCCCTCTCCCTCTGCCATCGCCTCCAACCACCTCGTCCACGAGATTCTCGTCGAGGCTGGTCTCCCCCGCGACGTCATCCAGTTCGTCCCTGGTGAGGCTGAGGAGGTTACCAACGTCGTGCTGAATCACCGCGAGTTCGCCGCGCTGCACTTCACCGGTAGTACTTCTGTCTTCCGCAGCCTGTACGGTCAGATCGCCCAGGGTGTCGCCCAGGGCAAGTACCGCAGCTACCCCCGCATCGTCGGTGAGACTGGTGGCAAGAACTTCCACCTCGTGCACAAGACTGCCGACATCCGCAACGCCGCCGTCCAGACTGTCCGCGGTGCTTTCGAATTCCAGGGCCAGAAGTGCAGCGCCACTTCGCGTGCCTACATCCCCGCCTCGCGCGCCGAGGAGTTCCTCTCCCAGGTCGCCGCTGAGACCAACGCCCTCAAGCAGGGTGAGCCCTCTGACTTTACCAACTTCTGCGGCCCCGTCATCCACGAGGGTTCGTTCACCAAGCTCGCGGGCGTCATCGACGAGGCCAACAAGGACCCCGAGCTCGAGCTCCTCGCCGGTGGCTCCTACGACTCCTCCAAGGGCTGGTACATCAAGCCCACCGTCTACCGCACCACCAACCCCGACCACCCCCTCCTCTCCCGCGAACTCTTCGGCCCCGTCCTAGTCGTCTACGCCTACCCCGACGCCACTGAGGAGGACTTCTCGCGCATCTGCAAGAAGATCGACAACACCAGCGAATACGGCCTGACGGGCTCCATCTTCGCACAGGACCGCGACGTCATCACCCGCGCCAGCGACGCCCTCCGCAACACCGCCGGTAACTTCTACATCAACTGCAAGAGCACCGGAGCCGTTGTCGGCCAGCAGCCCTTCGGTGGTGCGCGTGCCAGTGGCACGAACGACAAGGCTGGCAGCGCTAACTTGCTGAGCCGGTTTGTGTCGCTGAGATCTGTCAAGGAGGAGTTTGTGCCGACGTACTCGGTTGGATACCCCAGCAATGCTTAGTTTGCTTGTCATGAAATAACGATACCTGTATTGCATATGTATATATCTAATAGCATTATCTTTTTCTACTGTTAACCACACTCGCACGCTCACTAATCCTGATTCATAGAACACTTCCGCAAAAACCGCTGCATACTCTCCATCGCCTTCTTCGCATACTCATTCATCTCATAATCTCTCCCCTTGCCCTCCGGCCCACCATCAAAAATCTCCATCGAAAACCACCCCCTAAACCCAGTCCTCAGCACCGCCTTCGCAACCTCCTCAATAGGCAAATATCCACCATCATATGGCATCGGCCTGAAATCATGACTCCACCTCCCTCTCGGCCTTAACCCCTTAACAGTCTTCTCAGGAAGCGGTTCCGGCGGCTTATACGCATCACTAATCTGCAACAGATAAATCTTCTCCGCAGGCACCGTCCTCGCCAACTCATCCAGACTAGCACGGAATACCTGATCCAGCGCCGCCGGATGCATATGATTAATAAGTCCCATTTCCGTCGTTGGATCGCCGTATTCCCCGCCCGAGGTCTGGAAGGTGTCTAGGCAGAGGCCTGCGTTGGGGCGGTCGATTTCTTTCACGATCTCCCAGACGTCTTTCCAGGTTGGAGCGTGGGTGCTCCAGCACCAGTTTTCGTAGGCCAGGCGCATGTTGCGCGCGGCGAGGCGGTCGCAAAGTTCGCGCAGGTCTGAGACGATGATTTTGCGGTCTGTGGTTATTCTTTCCGAGGATGAGTCGGTGGAGCCAACCTATTTTTTATTATTATTTTTTTTTTTTTTAAATCAGTATGTGTATAGATTGCGGATGAGAGAGGAAAAGGCACCTGTAGGAGATCTGTCCCCGCAGCCTCCATAATATCCATCCACCCATCCGCCCTTCTCAGCGCATCCTCCCTCTCCCTCGAACCACCCGGCCACCCCTCAAAATTCCCAAACGGCTGCAACATCATCACCCTCAGCCCATTCGAGTCGACCAACTTCTTAATCTCCTTTGTCACGTTGACTAGCTGCCCATATTCACGGCTCCCCAATTCCCTGCCTGTGATTTGAGACCCATAGGTTAGGATATCCGGAAAGGAGAGCTCGATTGCGGTAAATCCGGCGGCGGCGATGGCTTCTAGTTTTCGGGGGAGGGTGTCGGATTCTTTTGTGCCGATTGAGCAGGAGGCGTAGGAGAGGGGGATGTTCTGGAGGGATTCGAAGGGGATGTAGGAGGACATTTTTGTTCTGCGTTTGATTGATGATAGTGGTTAATTCAACTGGCGATGAGTGGTGGGAGGATCGCTTTCAAGTAAAGTTGGGTTCAATGGTGGATTCTATCATGCTTTGGGAACTGTGATGTAACCCGCCACGGAACCGAGTATACGGAGCAATTGTCCGATATGTACGATTAGTGACATCAAAAGATAATCCGGGGTAGAATAAAGCTGGTGATCGTTCAGTGACGTCCAACGGAAATTATGGTAGCCATGATGTAATCCCTCTCCGTATAAACCGGACTCGGCCCCGATGTCAGAAGACATTTGTTAGACATTTTTAAGTAGCTGCTTTTCAAATATTGTATAGCAGGCCGACTCTCTTTTTCAAATTATTGTTTGTTTAATAGTGTACCTGCAAGATGCCGTCAAACCCAATCCAACACTTCAAACGCATCGGCGTCGTCGGAGCCGGCAACATGGGCTCAATGATGGTCTTTGCCTTTTCGGAAATCGGCCTCGACGTCTCCGTCTGGGACGTTAGCAAGGGTAACCTCGATCAGCTCATGAGAAACGTCAAGGCATCCAAGGATATCAAGACCAAGGTCGAGGGATATCATGATATCGACGAATTCACCAGGTCTCTCGAGGGCGCGGGCGATCGGAAACTGTTCATGTTTTCAATTACCCATGGCCAACCTGCTGATTCAGTGCTGAGTATGATCAAGAAGGATCTTAAGAAGGGTGATATCATTCTCGACGGGGGTAATGAGAACTATCGACGCACGGAGCGGAGACAGAAGGAGTGTAACGAGATTGGGGTTAGTTGGATCGGTATGGGTGTTTCGGGGGGTTATCAATCTGCTCGAAGGGGTCCTAGTTTGTCGCCTGGTGGTGATCCAGAGGCTATGAAGCTCGTGATGCCGCTGTTGGAAGCTTACTCGGCCAAGGATAAGAAGACTGGTCTTCCTTGCGTGACTGCCGTTGGGCCTGCTGGGTCCGGCCACTTCGTCAAGATGGTTCACAATGGTATCGAAGGTGGTATGTTGTCGACACTGGCCGAGGCGTGGTCTCTTCTGCATTATGGCCTGGGAATGAACTATGACGAGATCGGAGATATCTTCGAGCAATGGAACAAGGAAGGCGAGCTCAAAAACAACTACCTCATCCAAATTGGTTCTGAAATCTGCCACGTCAAGCGTACTCCCCAGGGCGACCACAAAGGCGAAGGTGTCAGCGATAAAAACGGTTACGTGCTAGACGACGTCCTGGACAAGGTCGTCCAAGACGACGACAACACCGAAGGCACCCCGCTCTGGGCCCTCATGGATTCAGCATTCCGTCACGTCTCAGCCCCAACTCTAGCCACCGCGCACTACATGCGAATCTCCAGTGGCAACCGCGAAGAACGAGTCAAGGTCGCCAATAAAATCCAAGTTCCCTCCCCCAAGCCCATCGAGCGCATCAAGAACCGCAAGGAATTCGTCGAGCAGATCCGTCGCGCGGTCTACGTCGCTTTCCTCGCGTCATTCTGCCAGGGCCTCGAAATCATCTCCCGCGCTTCCCTAGACGAGGGATGGAACATCGATCTCGGCAAGTGCCTCCAAATTTGGCGTGCCGGATGCATCATCCAATCCGAGGCCATTGCCGATATCCTGCAGCCAGCGCTTAGCGCCGACAAGCAAATGACCAACATCAAGTTCATCGATAAGGTAGCGCAAGAACTGCACAAAAACTTTGAATCCCTGAAACAGGTTGTCGTTGAGAGTGTCATATCCGATCACTATATCCCCGCTATCTCGGCCACGCTCGAGTACCTGAAGTATGAGGGTGGCACAAAGCTACCGACCAAATTCATGGAGGCTCAGATGGACTTTTTCGGTGCACATGCGTATAATAAACCTGGTGTTCCTGGAGAGGATCCGGGACCGGTTAAGAAGGGGCCTCATCATTATGAATGGCGGCCGGCATAATCGTTCCCTTTATTTGTATGATTTAATCTGTATGCATAGTTAATGAATTGCCTTTCGTTTCGATTCTCAAGGATTCAAGACCATAACTCTTCATAGTACTAGTCTTACTATGTTGTATAGAGTAACGAACTTCTTGTAGACATCTTAGTCGAGGATGGCGCCAAAACAGACGAATCACGTGTGGCACGTGGTAGCATAGCCTAACCCGATTGGGAAGCCCCGCGACAAGCCTCATTTTTTCGCATCGGTTCATTATTCAAAGCTGGATGTGGTCTGTTGTTGCTTCTTTTCGTCGCTCTCTCTCTACAAGTACTCTCTCTAAAAGACCTCTCCGGCGAATCTACTCTCCAAAGCAATTGGCGCAGAAAATGGCTGCTCTTCCTGATACTTACGCGGGTGAGATACAGATACCCCGCTGTCGCATACTTTTGGCCTGGAATACGAGCCTACGAAGAAATATGCTAACTGTTGAATGCTGTAGACCCCGTTCGCATCGCCGTGATCGGTGGTACCGGTCTGCGCGAACTCCCTGGCTTCACCCAGGTCGCTTCTCTCGAGATCTCTACGCCGTGGGGTAACCCCTCCTCGCCGATTACCATCCTTCACCACAAGTGCACCACCACCGGCAAGCTCGTCGCGGTCGCATTCCTCAGTCGCCATGGTCTTCACCACCAGCTGACGCCGCATGAGGTCCCCGCCCGTGCCAACATCGCTGCCCTGCGCTCCATTGGTGTCCGTACCATCATCGCCTTCTCTGCCGTCGGTAGCTTGCAGGAGGAAGTCAAGCCGCGGGACTTTGTGGTGCCGAACCAGGTCATTGACCGGACTAAGGGTTTCCGTCCTTGGACTTTCTTTGAGCAGGGCGTTGTTGCTCACGTTCCTTTTGCGGATCCGTTTGACGAGCGGGTTGCTAAGGTTGTGAGGGAGTGTGGACACAGCTTGGAGGGTGAGGGTGTGACGTTGCATGACAAGGGAACTATTATCTGCATGGGTATGTATCAATTGTCAATCTGTGGAAACCATTGGTTATTAACGCTTTGCAGAGGGGCCTCAGTTCTCGACCCGCGCTGAGAGTCACATGTACCGTTCTTGGGGTGGCACCGTCATCAACATGTCGTGTCTCCCCGAGGCCAAGCTCGCGCGCGAAGCCGAAATCGCCTACCAGATGATCTGTATGTCGACTGACTACGACTGCTGGCACGAGTCGACTGCCGATGTAACCGTGGAGATGGTTATGGGTAACATGAAGGCCAACGCCGAGAATGCTCGCCGCTTTGTCACGGCTGTCCTCGATACCCTGGCCAATGACGAGCACTCCGAACTTGTGCAGGCCAAGCATGTTGAGGGATCCATCAAGTTTGGTCTGACCACTCCTCAGGCTCACTGGAGTCCTGACGCCCGGCAGCGTCTGGACTATCTGTTCCCTGGTGCCTTCCAGTAATTGCATTGTCTCAAATCTGTTTGAAAGCTCTGTTGATAGATGTCATGAATTCATGAGAACCAATTTTGTTATGATACCTGTCATTTCTTCAATATCGGACAAACGCCGGGTGTGCATGCATTCCCTATCTCATCTCGCCTGCAACTCCCCCGATGCAGACATGGAAAATCCGAACTGTCATCGGAAACGATCACCCCGCGTCTAAAAAAAGCATCCTCACCAATCTGGTCCAGTGTTCGTTTGTCCGATTAGCAGTCGCTAAACCCCTGAGCGGCCGCGCCATTACCTTAATTGCACAAGTTTGCGAGCGATCGTCAGGCGGGAACCGTTCCTGTCCTCGCTTAATCGGTCGATATTCTATTCTGTGATATTCGTGACAGCCACGGGTACTTCATCACACTTGGAATATCTGAACCCACGCAGTAGATATTGCATTGAGGCAGAGTAAAACATAGTAGAATAACCTCTCACGCTGCCAATTGACCAGTCTCTCTGCATACAAGAATACCTATCGCATGCATCTTCACGCTATTCCCCGTAGAGTTAGCCCTCCGCATTCCTGACCCGCTACCCGATTAGGCCATCCATACCACGTACCAGCCTTGTGTTTCCCCAAAGAACAACCCAAGTTTTCCTCGCTTGATATCACAACATCCCTAAACACGAATAAGAAACAAACCTCCGAACACACATAACGGCAAGATCGTCAAAACCGCTAATGCTTCGGCCCAACCCCCATACGTCACTATGTCCGATATACGTATCCTGGGATAGCCGACGCCCCATGATCGTTGCGGGTAATACTTAACCCTCTCTATATAACCAGTGCCACCCCCGGATCTAGATTGAATCACAATCTGACGCTCGTGCTACCAGCATAAGGCTGCAGGGAGTACTTTTCCCAATATGGCGCGCCTTTCCGGGTATCTGACCCTAGTCTCTCTTTTTATTTCTTTTACTGCTTTTGCTTCGCCGTTGATTGACGCCCCTTTGATCGCGAGAGATTCAAATGATGGATATGCGGCTATTCCGTATTATCCCGCGCCTAAGGGTGGGTGGGTTTCGTCTTGGTCTGATGCGTATGAGAAGGCGCAACAGGTTGTCAGCAACATGACACTGGCCGAGAAGGTGAACCTCACCACAGGTACGGGAATCTTCATGGGGCCGTGCTCGGGGCAAACTGGTAGCGCGCCGCGATTCGGGATTCCGAATCTCTGTTTCCAGGACTCTGCGCTGGGTGTTGCCTCGACCGATCACATCACGTTCTTCCCCGCCGGTATCACCGTAGGAGCCACCTTCGACAAGGACCTCATGCATGCGCGTGGTGTTGCGCTAGGCGAGGAATCACGTGGAAAGGGTGTGAATGTGCAATTAGGCCCGGTTGTTGGTCCGCTGGGTCGGAAGCCAAAGGCTGGTCGGAACTGGGAAGGATTCGGGGCGGACCCTACTCTCCAGGCTATTGGCGGTGCGCAGACGATCAAGGGTATGCAGAGTACGGGGTCTATTGCTTGTCTGAAGCATTTCATCGCCAATGAGCAGGAGACGCATCGGATGACTTCTGTTGTTACCAAGGCGTACTCTTCGAATTTGGACGACCGTACGATGCACGAGTTGTACTTGTGGCCGTTTGCGGAGGGTGTCAGGGCTGGGGTGGGGTCTGTTATGGTGGCTTATAATGATGTTAGTCGACTGACCATCTATTGTTGAGTGTCATGTTGCTGACTTTTCAGGTGAACCAATCTGCTTCCAGCCAAAACAGCAAACTGCTTAATGGCATTCTCAAGGACGAGCTTGGGTTCCAGGGCTTTGTGCTTACGGATTGGCTGGCGCATCAGTCCGGTGTCCAGAGTGCCTTGAGTGGATTGGATATGTCTGTTCTTCTTTTTCATTTGTTTT